TCCTGTGACCAAGGGGGGCCAGTGCTAGCACCAGGTGCTGCCTATGGCAGGAGCCAGCGCCAGGTCTCCCACTGAGCCCATGCCAGGGAGGCAGAAGGGGAAGCCAGGTCCAGGTGCTCCCTGGACAGAAGGGAACTGCTCACAGCCCCACCAGCTGCTGCAGAACATGGGGCACACAGGGATGGGTGGTTGGGGTCCATATCATGGGTCCAGCCATCACCCCTCCTCTGGGCAGAGGTTGCTGCAGGCTGCGGGTGCTGCCAGGCTCGGGGGGCCGGGCATGGTCGCTGTGCGTGACAAGGCAGCAGGACCCTCTGCAGAAAGGAGGGGCACTGCTGGCCTGGGAGGGCACTGCCAGTCCCACTGCCACAGTCCATTGTCCCCCCACCACCGCAGACATTGTGCCCACACCCAGCTGTGCTCTCTTGTTCTACCCCAAGGCCACCTAACTCCCAGCTTCAAAAGCCGTCCTTAGGTGCAGCAACCCCTCTTCCAGTCCCGCTACTGCCCCAACAATAAGAAACCAGGTGGCACCTCCATTGGGCCAGACACTAAGCTATGAGTGACAAGGGGGAGAAAGAGGGGGACACAATGTGCCACCACCATAGCAGTGCCCTGTGGTGGGGTGGCAGAGGCAGGGTGAGTGGTGCTGGGAGGAGGGATGTGGTGGTGGGCAGAGGGGAGAAACAGCTGGTGCCAGCATGTAAAATACCCTGTGAAATACCCCCCTGCCCTACCACATGCCCCCTGCCCAGCCCCAGGATGGGGCCAAGTGCCCAGTGCACACATGGCAAGGCTGAGCAGAATGTTCCAGTGGGGAAACCCTGACTCAGGCAGGTGGGAGGTCACTGGTGACACCCTTTTGGTGACAGAAATCAACCCAGGGTGAATCACCAAAGCCCCGGTGCTAGATCTCAAGCTACCCATGGGCAAGTGCCAAGCCAGAGCAATGGAAACAAGGCAAAAGCAGTATCCTTCCTCTGGCCTTGCTGGGGCTAGGCCTGTGGTGGTGACAGTGCTAGGGGTGTCCCTGCAGCCGGGGTCCCCAGGGTGGGTACAAAGACAAGGCACCGCTCACGGGCCTCATCTTTGCCATGTGGCAGGCAGGGCTGGCAGCACTGGCACTGACACATGTCCTTCTCTTCACAGTCTCCGTCTGTGGCACTTGCTGGCTGGGTGAGCTGGTGGCCCTGGCACCATGTGGTGATACTGCCCCACGGCTGAAGGGGACCATCTGGCTGCAGTGGCTTGTAGGGTCCATGCACCATGTCCTCCCTGGC